TCAGTCCTGGAGAGCCACAGTCCTGCAGAGTTCAGCTCCAACCCTAATCAAACACACCTGAACATGTTAATCAAGGTCTAGGGTCTACTAGAAAGCAACAGGCAGGTGAGTTTTAATCAAGGTTGAAGCAAAACTCTGCATGACTGTGGCTCTCCAGGACCGACGTTGGCCACTCCTTACCTATGTTATAAAAGCAGTGGTTCTCAAACCTGTCCTGGAGTACCCCCAGCCCTGCACATTTTGTATGTCTCCCTCATCTATCACACTTGATTCAACTCATCAGCTCATTAGTGGAGACTGCAAGACCTGAAGTGGGTGTTTCAGATAGAGGGAGACATACAAAATGTGCAGAGCTGGGGGTACTTCATGGAGAGGTGCTCATTAGTGGAGACTGCAAGACCTGAAGTGGGTGTTTCAGATACAGGGAGACATACAAAATGTGCAGGGCTGTGGGCACTTCATGGACAGGTTTGAAAACCACTGGTATAAAGCATGAGATGTGTACAGTGGCGGAGAGAGCTCAATGCGCTGCAAGTGAAAAAAACTCATGCAAATAGAAAAAAACACCTGAAAATTAAGAAACCATTTGACAACACATGTGCTGCAAATACTCACAACACAACCTAATGCAGAAACGCGCTGCAAATACTCACAACACAACCAAATACCGAAACGCACTGCAAATTCTCACAACAACCAAATACAGAAACGCACTGCAAATTCTCACAACACAACCTAATGCAGAAACGCGCTGCAAATACAGAAACACGCAAATAGACCACAACAAGCAGGATTCTGCATTCTACATTTGCGTACTGTTTTTGTTTGTGTTGTGAGAATTTGCAGCGCGTTTCTGCATTAGGTTGTGTTGTGAGAATTTGCAGCACGTGTGCTGTAAAATTGATGAAGATGTTTTCTTAATTTGCAGGTGTTTTTTCATTTGCAGAGTGTTGAGCTCTCTCGGCCACCGTAGATGTGCCATGGCATACCATGAAGGCCATCAAATACAGAAACGCGCTGCAAATACAGAAACACGCAAATAGACCACAACAAGCAGGATTCTGCATTCTACATTTGCGTACTGTTTTTGTTTGTGTTGTGAGAATTTGCAGCGCGTTTCTGCATTAGGTTGTGTTGTGAGAATTTGCAGCACGTGTGCTGTAAAATTGATGAAGATGTTTTCTTAATTTGCAGGTGTTTTTTCATTTGCAGAGTGTTGAGCTCTCTCGGCCACCGTAGATGTGCCATGGCATACCATGAAGGCCATCATCAACAAGTGTAGACAATAGGGTACAACAATGGCATTTCAAAGAACACGGCACCTGTCAAAAATTAATGTACAAACAAGATGAAAATCAAGAGATTTAGACTTACACACTTAGACCTGCCAATAGACTTACTGTAACATTAAAGAAGCTGCATGAATGTCTGGAAAGTTTGATTCTTAATAGTGTGTTGTTACCTGGATTGTCCACAGCTGTTTTTTGTTTTGTTTTTTTGTGATAGCTGTTCATGAGTCCCTTGTTTGTTCTGAACAGTTAAACTGCTCGCTGTTCTTCATTTGAAGATCAGGGTAAATTTTACTTATTTTGTCTTCTAGGAAACATGTAAGTATCTTCTGTAGCTTCTGACGGGCAGTACTAAATGAAGAAAAACGGGCAGTTTAACTGTTCAGGACAAACAAGGGACTCATGAACAACTATCACAAAAAAAACAAAAAATAGCTGTGGATCATCCAGGTAACAACACAGTATTAAGAATCAAGTGTATGTAAACTTTTGAACTGGGTCATTTTTTATAAACCAATAATTAAAAGGAAAAAAAGCCCCTCTGAGACTTGCTTTATAACTTTTCCATGATGTTTCTCTATAACTCTTTGTAGATGCCCTTCTTGCTGATCTGGAAAATTCAGCCTTTCCTCTGGGTCGCTATCCTGTTCTGCTCACCTCTGACCCTCCAGTGAATTCCGATCCCCCATCCAGTGCTCAGGATCCTGCCCAGAACCGGCCACTCCCTCCAGCATACACCCCACAAAAAGTATGCCATGAGATGAACACAAAAACAAACACACATCTGATATGATGTTTCTAAGCAAAATATATTAATTCATGTTACAGGATCATACAATTTCTATTCATCTGTTTCATAGACTGTTTCTGCTGCAATGAAGTCGAACGGCTCTCAGAACTCTAACCAAGACAAACTTTACAGGTATTTTAACTCTCGAGAACACAATGCCCTAAATAATACATTGATTTTCACATAAGGTATATACAGTATATACCCAGAAGAAAGAAAAACAAGATCTCTTTACCATCTCAAAAGTTTATCTCCCACTTTTTTTAACAACCCGCTTCATCACATGAGGATATGATACTGTTTTCACTCAACGGCCTCATTCATGAAACAAAAGCAGAAAGATGTGTGTGTGTAAATCATAGCTGTTCTGACGTCAATTTTTGGATTTATGAAAGTCTTCGTATTTTCAAAATGTCAGTCAGTACACACAAAAAAAAGGTAAATGGTGCATAGAGTTTGTTTGTCGATACAGCTAGGTAATCTTTAAGATATTGAGGTTAAGCTTATTTGGCTTGCTGTCCAAGGAGCTTGAGGATGTGGCTGTAACTCGAGCTCTGATAAACCCTCAGGGTCTACCAGTGTGTGGAAGAAAGTATTAATGGCAAGAAACTTAAATTAGTTGGTGGAGTTGGGGTGATGAAGGGATGTTGAAACTGCTGATGCTGGAGCAAGTTGAGCACTGCCTATGTGTTTTCTGGCAGTTAATTGAAAGATTAAATGGTTTCACTCCTTCACATAGTTAACTAGTCACATAGTTGTAATTCATGGGTGGGAATTATGCTAATTGTGAATGCGTGCATGAAAAAATACTATAGTAATTTATAGTAAATACTATAGTGTTTTGGAACTATACTATAGTAAAGTACTTGAATTAATTTGTTGTGGTAATTCTATAGTTGCTGTGGTAATATAACAACTATAGTAATATAAACAAATTACTTTACCCAATACTGTACTAAGTTTATATTTTATATTATACTACAATACACTACAGTTTACTGTTGTAAAAACAAACGTATAATACAATATTTATTACAGTTTATCAGTTCACTATAGTTAATACTACAGTATGCTGTAGCATTCATTAAAAAGTGTTGTAAATACTATAATATATACAGTATAATACACTTTACTATAGTATGGTTCAAAAACACTACAGTATTTACTATAAATTACTATAGTATTTTTTCATGTGGGTGGTCTATTTACAAATGACTGGAATTCATTAACATACACAAGTTTAACTATGAAATCTGAGGTTTATGATGTTTAATCTGGAGGAGAGTTTTCGGGAAGGTCCATTTTACGGGGAAATTACTCATATTATTTACACATATATTTTTAAAAAAAATTAAAGAATGAGGCCCAATGGGCACATACACACTGTAAAGTTTCAGGTGTGACAACTGCATTTAAATACGGTAGTGAATACCCTAAATGTTTTGTGTGTGTGTACATTTGAAATTCAATGACTGACACCGTTGTTACCATTGCACCATTTTGCCATCTCACATGTTTTGTATTCTGCTTTTTTGACCAAAGTAACTCGTTATTGTCACGGTCATGGTCTTTTGTTTGTGTTTCCTTCTGTTTCTGTTCTCCTGCCTTAATTAGTTCCTTTGACCTAGTTTCCTGTGTTCAGTCCTTGATTACCTTAGTCAGTTCACCTGTCATTAGTTCTTCTCTTGCGTTGGTATAAAGTTTTCCCCATTTAGTGCTCTTTGTTGCCGGTTATTAATATGAATATGCTTTTGCTTTGCTGTTTTTGATTTATTAAAGTATTGAACTATTCGTCTTCATTGTGTGCTTATACTTAGCTTAAGCAATCTGTGACAGTTATGCTTAGTGATTTTAATTAAACTAAAGTTGACAGAGCCGTAGTGTTTTATGTTTGGTAGGTTGCTTTGCAAAGTGTTGCCATGTCCATTTATTATAAGCAGTGCTTATAAAGCATCTTTGGCCTTGGCTCATAAAACAATCCAGTTTATGGAGTTAATACAGTAGGCAGGTGCCTGTTGCAATATTTTGGTACTGTACATGGCTTATTTCCAGGATAACATGTTCAGATTTAAGTTTATTATAAGCTTGTTCTTATTTACTGTTATATATATATACAGTATATATATATATATATATATATATATATATATATATATATATGCAAGTGAACGTATGCACAATATTTAATAAAAAATAATCAAGTATATTTTGTACAGCAAAAAAAAAGACTAATAGACTTTACATGACAAACAAATAAAACTGTATTTTTTTGGTTGTTTCTTGTTATTTTTATAATGATTCCATCTTTATTTGACACTCTAACTGTAGCACTCTCTATTCTAATTCTATTCTTAAAAAAAAAAAAAAAATTGTCCCTTTTAGACTTGCACTTTATTCATTTGCTGCTTGTATTCTTTAAAAAAACTAAAAACTAAAATAAAATAACACTTGCTTTCTAATCTTTTTGTATCTGTTTTCTTTTCATTTATTATACAATTAACAAAAGCAAAAAAAGACCTCTAACACTAGCTTGCTCTATTCTTTTTCTATTCTATCTGTTTTCTTTTTATTTATTATATTATTTAAAAAACCTTTGCTATGTGTACTGCGTTAAGCTAACTGAGACTTGTTATATCACTTGTATATCATTGCTCTTTTGTTGATTTTGATTGCTTCCATTGTCCTCATTTGTAAGTCGATTTGGATATAAGCGTCTGCTAAATGACTAAATGTAAATGTAA